TATTTTGTGCGGCTTGAAGAAAAATGTTCTCAGTACACTTCTTGCCCAAAAACCGTGTTCGGTTAGATTTTAACCGGTTTCACAGAAGCACCAAATCCAACAAACAACATAGTTTCTTATCATAGCGAAGTTGCCTTGGATAAACAACTAACAGCTTCCTGGGAACTAGAAGATATACCGAAAAAAAAAAATTTAAAAGAAGACGACAAGTATTGTGAAGAGCTTAATCAGAAAACGACTGAGAGAAACCCAGATGGAAAATATGTAGTCTCGCTACCATTTAGGCAGAAATTTCCAGCAAATATTTGCCTTATCCCCTCTCTTAAAAAAGCATGCTCTCGGTTCTTCCGGAATGAGACACGGCTTACAAAGGATCCCGTCCTGCAAAAGGAGTATAATAGGGTACTAACAGAATATGAATCACTGGGACACATGTCCAGAATAAATGGTAGCATTTCAGCAGACTCTTACGATAACTTTTTGCTACCCCATCACGCTGTGATAAAGGCGGAAAGCACCTCTTCAAAAGTTCGAGTCATCTTTAATGCTTCTAACCAGACGGCTAATGGTACAAGTTTAAATGACGTACTTTACCCAGGTCCAGGACTCCAAGCAGATCTTCCAATATTAATACTCCGCTGGAGATTATATAGGTACGTTTTTAATAGCGACATCGAGAAGATGTACCACCAAATTTGGGTGAATAACAACCATACCAAATACCAGCTAATAGTTTATCGTATAAACCTGAACGAACCTGTAAGTCTATATGAATTAAAGACAGTCACTTTCGGGATTAATAGCGCACCTTACCTCGCGATAAGGACACTCCTGCAATTAGCTGACGATGCAGAGAGTTATTTCCCAATAGCATCTAACATACTGCGAAAGTTCATGCATGTGGATGACGTGTTAGCTGGAGGACATAGCGTCGACTCTACCATTAAAGCAAGAGATGAAATCTCAGAAGTGTTACGATCAGCTGGTTTTCCACTACGGAAATGGACCTCAAATTGTCAGGAAATTCTTAAGGGCATCCCAAAAACGGACCTTCTTAGCGAAGATTTCTTAGCATTCGAATACACCAGCACGGTTAAGGCTCTGGGCATAAGGTGGACTGCCCATACGGATTTACTTTATTTTATGGTCAGACCATTGGAGGAGCATGACACTATTACGAAAAGGGCGATGCTGTCAGCGATCGCCAAGCTTTTCGATCCACTGGGATGGCTCGCACCAATAGTCATCGTAGCCAAAATACTCATGCAAAGTATTTGGCTAGAAGGCACAGACTGGGATGAGACTGTGTCTGATACTATTTTAGAACGTTGGCAGCATTTTACGAGACATTACCACGAAATAGATAATATCAGAATATCTCGATGGGTATACTTCTCACCTGGGGACCCCATAGGGATACATGGTTTCTGCGACGCATCAGAAAAAGCATATGCGGCTACGACATATATGCGTGTCAAAAGAGATGACAAAATTTTGGTCAATCTACTTTTGGCAAAAACCAGAGTCGCCCCCGTCAAAACTATATCGCTACCACGACTGGAGCTTTGCGGAGCAGTACTGCTCGCAGAAATCATAGAATCTATAATCAACAACCTCAACCTAGGACCAGTGAAGACACATCTATGGACGGACTCGACCATCGTACTCGCATGGATACGAAAGCCGCCTTGTTCTTGGTCAACCTTCGTCGCCCACCGAATTACGAAAATCGTAGAAAAAGTAGGGGAGAAGGACTGGCTACACGTAGACTCGGCCTCAAATCCAGCCGATTTGGCTAGCAGAGGACTACCTGCGTCAGAATTGGTCAACAATTCTTTGTGGTGGCAGGGACCTTCTTGGCTGCAAGAAGACAACTCCAAGTGGCCCGCTCAAGGAAGACACGACGAAGAAAAAAGAGCACACACTTATGCGACAACAAGAGCAAATGATATCGATATTCTTAACCGTTTTTCCGATTTACCAAGAGCTTTGAGAGTTCTATCATATGTTATGAGATTTTATCGAAGAACTCATTCCAAAACAAAAGCTTAATTTCACGAAAATTCTTGTTTAATTTCATCTAATGAAATTAAAACAACGGCACATATTCTGATAAAAATCTACCAGAAGCATTATTATGGTGAAGAATACGCAAACTTGAAGTCTAAAAAACCAATCGATGCGAAGAGTGAAATCCTTCCGCTTAATCCGTTCATCGATAAACATGACATCATCAGAGCCGGAGGTCGCCTTGGAGCATCCCAGGACTTAGCATACAATGAACGCCACCCGAGCATTATCCCGTATAACAGCAGGTTGTCCCGCCTTATTGTATCGTTTATTCACAAGGTCTCCTTGCATGGAGAGAATCAACTGATGCTACGCCTCATCCGTACCCAATACTGGATTCCCAAAGTCAAGAACTTGATCAGGTCCACTATCCATAATTGTAAGACATGCATTATCTTTAAAAAACGGTCACAAACTCAACTTATGGGAACTCTTCCTCCGGAACGCGCTACATTTACTCGCGCTTTCACAAATACGGGGGTTGACTTTTCTCGACCTTTTGATGCTAAAAGTTACCGCGGCAGAGGTTGTCGAGTTTCTAAAGGGTATGTCTGTTTATTTATTTGTTTCACGACAAAAGCGATTCACTTAGAAGCTACTAGTGATCTTAGTACCCCATCTTTTCTAGCGGCNAGGAGAGGATGGCCGAGAAATATCTACTCCGACAACGGTACTAACTTTGTTGGAGCCTCACGATTCGTACGATCTGAATTTAAAGCTTTTCTGTCTGAAACTCGAGATAAAACTATCTCGAAATACAACCACCAAATGCTGACGTGGCAGTTTATACCAGCTGCAGCGCCTCACATGGGAGGACTGTGGGAAGCGGGTGTAAAGAGCTTCAAAAGCCACTTTAGAAAAATCGCGTCCGCCCATATTTGTGCTTTGAAGAGCTTAGTACTCTTTTATGCCGGATTGAGGCATGCCTCAATTCACGGCCACTGGGTCCCTCTTCAAACAACCCTACTGACTTGGAGCCGCTTCCTCCAGGCCATTTTCTCATTGGTGGACATCTTCTAGCCCCACCAGAATTAGATGTGAACGAAACTCCTGCCTCCATAGTGAATCGGTGGCAAAATCTCAAAGCACTAAATCAAACTTTGTGTCGGCGATGGAAAACAGAGTACCTAACCGAACTTCAAAAACGCATTAAGTGGAAACATCCTAACGAAAATATTAAACCTGGTGATCTGGTCGTCATCAAGGAAGACAACTTAACCCCAACTGAATGGAGGTTAGGACGAGTTGTCAACGTACACCCTGGTGCCGACAGCAGAGTACGAGTAGTGGACATCTTGACGGAGAAAGGTCAAGTCACTGGACCACTGGTGAAGTTGGTTCTATTCCCGCTATGCAACGGTGGAAACTCGGAGCCAACAACCACCTCATAAACCACTTTTCATCATTATATCCCACTTCCTTTGTCCACGCGATTCTACTCCCTTATATTTGGACGGATCCCACGCCTAAGAATTCATGCTTTACAGTTTATTTTTTTCTCATTATTAAAAAAAAAAAATTTCGGTGATGGTTCTTACCCGGGTCTCCCCGAGTTGATGTGGCTAGAAGTAAACGACCATCATCAGATCTCAACCCAAAACATCCATAAATTGCACAGCATTTAACTGCGCACATAGAAAATGAATTAAAAACCGTGAAAAACTAGCAAGTTTAACAATAAAGTAAAAAAAAATTAAATTGTACTTGAAAATATTGAAAATTCAAACCTTTCTTTAACTTGCTGGTTTTTTACTATGTTTGGTGGAGAGAGATTGTGCCGATTAACCCTGCATGCCCAATGATGCTGTCTCACTACTTATTTCAAAAGAGAGCGCGGTGGTAAGAAAAACGACTAACATAGGGCACGCAGAGTTAAGCAAATGGCGATGATCACCCGCCCAAAATTAGCAATTATAAAACATAAACTCACTGATGTCTGGTCCCGTTCAGGCTGAATAGCCAATGCTGTCAGATATCTTTCCTGGTTTCATTTAATTCGCATATTTTACGCGGTACACTAGCCATAAATAAAACGCAAATGAGTTAACTTTTCAGTCGTCGAATAGAAGAAACAAAATTTAAAGAATAGGAAGTTTTATTACCATACTAAAGAAATTTCCAACAAGCTGACCCTACGTACAACGAAGAAGCAGCTGTGTAAACGGGGATGTTGAAGGTGTCCGCCAACGGAGGGAGAAAGACCATTATAAAACTCCGCCGCCGTAAGAATTGTAGTCACCATAAAAGAAAGATTAAGTTTGATGATTAGAAGTGTGTAGCGAAACCTTTGTTTACAAAACTCCAATTAACGTTTCCTTTACCCGCTAGTTTCAGTTCGAGTTGCAATCATAAGCGCAGTATTGCATGAATCACTATGGCATATCTCTCGATGCGAATTTCTGCCAACTCTGCATCAGTTAAGCTGAAGCGGAAGTTAAGCAGGTTTTCATCATTGTTACTATGTTGCCGCTTTATTACACTCTCGAATAAGCTCACACATACAGACATATAGACAAACAACAAACATTTCTATTTTTCTCTCTATTAAGAATAGAGTAAACTTGTACATTAAATAATATAATAAATGTTCAAATTAAGGTTAATACTTAGGTTTGTCGAGAAACTACTTTTTTCGTAAGCTTTTGTTAATGATTGAATGAAGATGTCACGTTCCATGATTAGAATGCTTTCAGTTACACAACTAATATGAACAGGTTTATAAAATAGCGCTGCTTCCAGTAATAAATGAAAGTAATATCGAGCCGGCTTTCGAACAGATATAGCTTTATCATAGCAAGTACGTCGAAATTGTACAAGTCAAATGAAGTCCAACTTGTGGTTAATTACGTTTGCGGCACAAATGTTAGCAAGTAGCAATGGAAACAAAAGTCTATGCAGTAGATTTTTGTCTACAGTAACATATGACACCAAAATGCCAATATAGTGCTTACTGGTAGTGGTGTGTTTTTTGTCACACCGCGTCGTATATGTCTGTAACCATACAAGTTGTGCGGTAACTTTTCTGCTGCGTACATATGCATACCGGAACAGTAGGTATATGCATCTGCTGCGCGACGATACACCCATAGGCGGCGAGTGCGTTCAAGGGCAATAGTACGGCGTATTCGCATAATATGCACTCAATGCTCTCCACCCCAAAGTGCCAAGTATATAATTAGGCTATTTGTATTGTATGTCAAATTAATTATGTTGGTTTGTTCTCTGGTAGTGGCTGGCAAGCATCTGCAATAAAGACCAGTTTTAATTTTGCATTTTTCCGCCATATAAGTAAATTAGTAAATATACTACGATACAAGGCGATAGTAGCACCAACTCCCATAATTTTTAGGTTAAGGCCAGCACCCAGAACCCTCGCCCAAACGTACATATGTAATTTGACCTCGACCCCACATGTGCTTTGGCTACTTGTGTTGGGTTTTGGGCACTCCCTTTGGTTTTCGTTTGTACTGCAAATGCTTGTCACCAGGCAAGCAAACCCGTTTGTCCTTTTACTCTGAAAAATAAAATTAAGTGTTCATTACTAGTAATATTTGCTTCTTTTTAACAAATTACCTGTACGCTTGCGTAATAATCTGCGGCAGTACACATCAATTAATCAAGGAAAAGAAATGTGTATATGAATGACCCTTCCAACAGAATGAATGAATTCTCTTCATTGTCGTGTAGGTATACCAGGGTTCGGACTCCTGAAAGTGCTCAGGAGAAATCACTCCAACAATCGGAGTAACAACAAAGTTCATAGCATTAGATTAGTAACAATTTGTACCTGAAGTCAGAATACTTCAACATGTTCATTTCACGTTATATTGAATAAATTCATTACGATTCTCCTCATCCGAACTTTCTTTCTGGAGTAAATGCCAACGAAACGGACTAGAGGAGTAAATCTACATACTTTTTTCAAACCGTACTAAACCCAATTCTCAACAGAGTGGTGTAGCATGACAGCTAAGCAAAACAAAATGTTCACACAATATTAAGTAAAAAGTTCAATATACTTTTGGCAATAACTAGGCCAAAGTACTCAAATCAATTTAGCTTGCGCTGCACTTCTCCAATAACATAAACTCGATTGAACCCATATACATTTATGTATGCATGCACAACAACGTAGAATCATAAGCATGACTAAC